TTACGAACGCCCCCCCCGAAATCCATACTAGACCCGCAGCCAGGCAGGTCAGGAGAGGGGGGGTGAGTGAGCACCCCCCCTTCCTGGACCATACCAGGCCACATTCCCTCAACATGAGGGGGGTGCTTTGGGGCAGGGGTCTCCCGCCCAAAGCACCTTGTCTCCATGTTGATGAGAACAAGGGCCTCTTCCCCACAACCCTGGCCAGTGGTTTTTGTGGTGTGCACACTGGGGGCTTACCAGAATCTGGAAGCCCCCTTTATCAAAGGGTCCCTCAGATCCCGCCCACCCATGTGAATGAGTATGCGGTACCCATTCACGAAAAAAAAAAAGTGTAGTGTAAAAAAAGACAGGAGACAGTCTTCGGCAAGTTCTTTATTAAAAATAAAAATTTTAAAAAATGTCCCTCGAAGTAGATCCAATGTCAATCATGATGCCCGCTGCCACCGCCGACCCTAAAAAAAGAAAAAAAAATTAGCTCAGCCCTCGACACTGGCTCCCGCCATCTGACAGCTGCGCTGACAGTTCTTAAATAGAGTGATGACGTCACCCCTTGTGATGTCATCATGCCCTGTGATTGGCCAAAGCATTGCACCTGACCTGTGGTCAGGTGCAATGCTTTGGCCAATCACAATGCACTGTCAGGGTGCAGTGCATTATGGGGAGCGGTGGGCGAACAGCACACGAACGGCCCATGTTCAAGTCAAATGTACGTTCGACTCGATTATGCAGCCCATCACTAATAATCAATCAATACATATATGCAGACAAACTGTACATCACAAATTGCTAGTGTCTAACTGTGATAAAATGGTCAATGAATAAAAAATTGCTAGTGCTTTGCAATAAGCATTACTCAATCACTTACATACATAAAGTGCTATATATTAAGTGCTACCAACATAGTGGGGAAAATAATTATTTGATTCCCTGAAGATTTTGTAAGTTTGCCCACTTACAAAAAAAGTAAAGGTCTATCATTTTTACCATAGCTGTATTTTAAATGATAGAGACATAATATCAACCAAAAATCCAGAAAAAAACACATAATACAAATGTTATAAATTGAGTTGTAGTTCAGTGAGTAATATAAGTATTTTATCTCCTACCAACCAACAATAACTCTGGCTCCCACAGATTGGCTATGTGCTCATGTGGTACACAGATTAGTCCTGTCAATTTAAGAAAGTGTATTAATGATGCCTGTCCACAGAATCTCATTCTTCCTCACCATCATGGGCAAGGCCAGAGAGCTGTCAAAGGATGTCAGGGACAAGATTGTAGACCTGCGCAAGGCTGGAATGGGCTACAGGACCATCAGCAATAAGCTTGATGAGAAGGAAACATCTAAATGATTCAGAGAAGGATTTGAAGAAAGTGCTGTGGTCAGATGAGACCAAAATTGAGTTCTTTGGCACTAACTTGTTTGGAGGAAGGAAAAAGGCTGACTATGACCCTAACACCATCCCTATAGTCAAGCACAGAGGTGGAAACATTATGCTTTGGGGCTGTTTCTCTGCTAAAGGGGCAGGCCGACTTTGCCTCATTGAGGGGCCAATCGATGGGGCCATGTAATCTAAAATCTTGGATGAGAACCTTCTCCCCTCAGCCAGAACACTTGAGATGGGTTGTCGATGGGTCTTCCAGCATGACAATGACCCAAAACATGCTGCAACAAAGGAGTGGCTCAAGAAGAAGCACATTAAGGTCATGGAGTGGCTCAGCCAGTCTCCAGACCTTACTCCTATAGAACATTTATAGAAGGAGCTGAAACTTTGAGTTGCCAAGCAAAAGCCAATAAACCTTGAAGACTTAGAGAAGACCTGTAAAGAAGAGTGGACCAAAATCCCTCCTGAGATGTGTGTAAACCAGGTAACCAACTACAAGAAATGTCTTACCTCTGTGCTTGCCAACAAGGGTTTCTCCACCAAGTACTAAGTCATGTTCTGATTGGGGATCAAATACTTGTTTTACTCACTGAACTGCAACTAAATTTATAACATTTGCATCATGTTTTTTTTTAATTTTTGGTTGATAGTCTGGGGTTTATTTATTAAAGAGAGTGCAAAATCAGGCTCACATCTGCATAGAAACCAATCAGCTGCCAGGTTTTATTGCCAAAGCTTAATTGAACATACGTGTATATAAATGATAGACCCTTCATTTCTTTGTAAGTGGGAAAAATGTAAAAAATCCGCAGGGGATCAAATAATTATTTTCCCCACTGTATATACAGTGTTGTCCATGTCATCTTATGATCCCATCCCTTACACCACTACTAAGAGAACATAGCTTCCCCATGGCCAATCTTCCATTTTGATTAAATCTTTGAATTCTACTACAGTCCACAGCAAGTTGTAAGCGTGCAATCCCTTTCACAATGTTCATGCACTTTGCTTCTACTATTGATACCCTCCTGCGTAGATCACACCCCCCACACAGTGGACAGATCCTGACCTTTCTTGATAACCTTTTAAGATCTGTTGGCTTTTTACTTCACAGGAGCTGTAGAATTGTATCACTCAGTATAAACATATTTCAAATGGACTTCAGCTTAAAGAGAACATGCAGAGACCATATTGCTTTCCATAAAATCAACTGCTTTTATTTAAAAAAATGTATTTAAAACTTATGTATTAGGGCCTGTTCACACTGTGCAGACAACTGCCGCACAGTAAACCGCAGCAGTTTAGTGTGTGGCAGCTGACCATTCCAATTGTAGTGAGCCTGCAGTAGTGTGTTGCAGCACATCAGACAGTTCCTTTTTTATTTTGACTCAAATTTATTTGAAGTGTACAAAGTGACACATAATTGTCCACAAAAGTTAATTAAATGTAACTAGTGTACATATCAGAATTTTACAATTCATCAGCCTCTTGTAATTTCCAGTAGGACTAAAACTAGGAGATAGAGGAGCAGCACAAGAAATCAGGTCTTCCCCATGCAAATATTCTGCTATTCGGACAAGCTAGTAGTTTGCTGAGCTGATCAAACTGCTTCTGCTTCTTCACTGGTTTGGGGCAAGAAGGTGACCAGGCTGTATTGTCAGCTGGCTTTTCTCTCTACTAGGAAGTGAAACTCTAAGGACTGGAGGGAGAGAAATACAAATCCATTGGTAGGTCATACTGCAATTGATTTACTAAAACTGGAGGGTGCAGAATTTGGTGCAACTGTGCATGGTAGCCAATCAGCTTCTAACTTCAGCTTGTTCAATTAAACTTTGACAAAAAAATCTGGAAGCTGATTGGTTTCTTTGCAGAGCTGTACCAGATTTTGCACTCTCCAGTTTTAGTAAACCAACTCCGATATGTACTTTGACTTTGGATTTAAATGTTTGCCTAGAGTTCAGCTTCAATCAGTTAGTTGGAGTCAGGAGGATGGCTCATGTTTTAACTCTCTGTTTAATGAGGTCAACAATCTGAAGTAAGCACAGCATTCCTCTTCTAGGAAACTTTGAGAAACTGGTCCCAATTCAGGAACTTTGTACTGTAACTTAATGCAATGTATGTGATGTGTATGTTTCAAAATTAACAGCAAACGCTATACTTAAAAATTAATAGATGTACTTATTATCAAATGGTAAAACATTCACATTTTTCCAGTGGAAAAACTGAGATTTTAATAGAGTGTAGATGGCTTAGGTTAGGACATTGGCTATGAAGGTATGGCGTTGTATATGAGTGCTAAAACAAAGAGTCAGTGACTAGAAAAATGGGTGAGTCAAATGATTTGGGTACCCCGCTGTGAAGCCTTTCAAAGAGTAATTGCAATGTTTTTAGATTTAATACAGTCCTAAATCGATGTCAGGATTAAAGTGGTCCTGATTACAGTGATCAACATGATCAGGCCTTGAATCCCAATGACTTGTCTATCACAGGCTATAAGAATGTTCTGTATTTTCAACAAGCAACAGTACAAACTTTCTGCTCTACAGGGTGCATAGCCGAGTCTGGGATTTATAATCTGCTCTGCCTTAGAAACATAGAACCATGTTATTATCAGAAGATTGTCTGAGGCAAGAAGCAATATTCGATAATATTTGTTCTAAAATTTACCCAATTTTGTAAAAAAATATATATATATATATAGTTTATTTTATTATTATTTTTTTTTTTTTTACAAAAGTTGACCCAAAGTTTTTACAAAATAGGATAGCACTTCAAAAGGAATGTTTTAGGCTGCAGTAAGGTAATGTGCCCAAAGTGACAAAGTTAATAGATTCAGTCTTGCATCATCAGTTCATGTTAATAGATTCAGGTTATGCATCGATTATCCAGAATCAGCCGTTCCACGTGTTCACAGGAATGACTGCTGTGGGCTGGGAACTACCACAGCCGGGATCATTACTGATGGATGAACGGCCTTCTTTGAAAGATTTACGTTATTCAAATGTCTTACTGTGGCTCGTCTCATCACCACACTGCGCTTGAAGTCTTCTGTAGGTATCCATGGGTTTTACGCCTTTGTTCACAAGAAACTGTTAGAAATCATGGGGCCCCGTATAGCCTATCTGACTGGGCCCCCTTTGACCCTGCCCTTGACCCCACCCCTGGCCCCTCCCCTTACTCAAAACAAAATGCAGGCCACCAGTGACCTGTTATTATAGAGAACGGGGCAACTACACCTACCTTCTGAGAGCCACAGGAGGAACTGTCACTACAATTTTCACCGGTCCTAAATGCTGGTGTGAATGTAGCCAATGTAGTATGCATTTCACTGTGCTTCTATTATCATCATCATCATGGTAATCACACAATACAGGTGCTGTGGCTCAAAAGCCCCTGTACTGTGTGATGATGTTGATAGAATTTGGCTGCTGACTGTAAAATTCATCATGGGCAACAGCAGGGCATGGCATGGGGGAAAGGTGTGTGCACACTTTGATCTCACTGTACCTTTTGTGAGAATTCTCTGCAGATGATCCCTCTGTAGACTGCAAGGCTGCAGCTGCAGAAATAATACAGGAGATGGTTAGAGACTGCAGACATAATACAGGAGACGTCAGAGACTGCAGACATGGTACAGGGGACAGTCAGAGATTGCAGACATGGTACAGGGGATGGTCAGAGACTGCAGACATGGTACAGGGGACGGTCAGAGACTGCAGACATGGTACAGGGGACGGTCAGAGACTGCAGACATGGTACAGGTGATGGTCAGAGACAGAGACTGCAGACATGGTACAGGGGACGGTCAGAGACTGCAGAAATGGTACAGGGGACGGTCAGAGAGTGCAGCCATGGTACATGGGATGGTCAGAGACTGCAGACATGGTACAGAAGACAGTCAGAGACTACAGATATGGCACAGGAGATGGTCAGAGACTGAAGAGATTGCACAGGAGAAGGTCAGAGACCGCAGAGATAGCACAGCAGATGATCAGAGACTGCATAGATGGCACAGGAGATGGTCAGAGAACTGCAGAGATGGTACAGGAGACGGTTAGAGACTGCAGAGATGGTACAGGGGAAGGTCAGAGACTGCAGAGATGTACAGGAGACGGTCAGAGACTGCAGACATACTACCGGGGACAGCAGATATTATTACTATTATTATTAGTATTGTTATACAGGATTTATATAGCACCAACAGTTTTACACTTTACAATATAAAGAGACAATACAGCAACAATACAGATCAATACAAGAGTGTTAGGAAGGCCCTGCTCCTTGGAGCTTACAATCTAAGAGTACAGGAGACTGTCAGAGACTGCAGATATGCAATGATGCCTGAATCCAGTGTGAAAGTGTATAATATTGCAGGGCTGCTCCACTCCACCCAAATCAGCTCCGCAAGATCAAGTCATAAATCCTCTTTACAAAGTACAAGTGACAGAAGGCAGCAGCACTTCCAATCTTCCAGACTTATAAAAACAGACAACTGGTCAAGAGCCGTGCAGGACAGTAAACAGTTCATGAATCTGTGACACTACTAGTCCTAAAGAGCAGTAAATCCTCCAAAGCCAACATCAAACAATGTGTCCAACCATGTGTCAATGATCACTTGTAATGCCGGCTGATCTTATCCATGTGTTCAGGTGCAGGTTAGATTAGGCAGTTATAAAAAAAAAAAGAGTGGCTGGCATTACAAGTGATCAGCAACACAGTAGTTTCTGATCGGACCATCTTCTTGTAGCTCCTGGGCTTCAGGTTTTTTGTGTCTCCCCCTCCCAGTGCCCCTATTCAGCCCCGCTCCAGCCACCAGCATCTTCCATATACAGTCAAATGTGGTGGGCTGGAGAAGGGGGGGGCATTAGTGTTTTCTGATTGGCTAAGGATGGGTGGGAGGAGGAGCAACTGTCGCTGCAGCCAGTGCAGTGTATTTGTCTTGTCCCTCCCCCATGCTTAGATACGTAGTGTTATTGGCTGCTATACTAAGCATTTAGAAACCTGAAGCTGCCAGCTTGCAGGGCCCCTCTGTCAAAGTGACAGGGCCCAGGCCCCCTACAGGACGCCAGGAGGTACCCCCTTATCAGCGGCCCTGCACACGCTGTCTCATGCACGCACTAACACTGTTGTCTGCCATCTTGATTATTGGTCTCTGGACTGACCTGCAACATGTGTGCCGCCCATCAGTAATAGGACACACTTGCCACTTACTACTGCGTGTAGTACCGCCATGCTAGCATCCTTTTTATACCTGTAAAATGAAATGTCCCAGTTTGACTTGAATGCCCATCGTATATGTATGATATATATACGTATATATTGTGACAGGAGGTCAGGAAGAACTAAGGGATGTGTCCAGGATGGGAGGTATGTTTGTCCCAGGTTCATGCTTTCCACTGACTGTTTCTCCTGCTGTGCTATGTAGTGAGCCTGTTTGGCTCACTGATGATGTAATGAGCTCAGCTGTATTAAGTTAAGGGCTCTGGGCTCTATAAAACTCCCAGGCTGCTTAGGGAGAATGCTCCAACCTGGAACCAGTTTGCTGTGCAGGACAGACTGGGGAGCAACCAAACAATACTGTGGTGAGAGTAAATCTGTGTGATCTTGGACTGGGAGACGCTGTGTGTGAACCCCCTGTGTCTGAGCAGTGATAGGCTGTATCCAGACAGGTAGATAGGAACCTGTGTCTGCAGTTAGATGCCCAGTGTGGCAAGGCTTTATTTTCTCTTTGTATTTGTTTTGCTGCGTTTGGATATATGCACCTTGTATTCACCAGTCTTGTAAATAAAGCTCAACTTTCTTCACCAAGATCCTACTGTTGTGCTGAGCCTCTTTCACCGTGCTCAGAATCATCCAGGGGGTTAAGCACAACCCGCTACTGGGCTAATCCCTCACAATATGTATAAATGTATTTCCACTGCTTTTCCCGAAGACCCAACTGCTGCGAAGAACCCCTTTTTAACTGCTACCAGAGTATTCCAGTTCTAGTGAGGCGCCCATTGAATCCCTGTTGCAAGTAGCTGTTTATGTTCTGAATTGTTTTACCGAAGTAACGATTACCAGCTTGAGTTTTAGAGAGACTATGAAAGCAGACACGTTACCCTCACTGAATGATATTGGTGTGAAGAGTCCAGCCAGGGGATAGAGAAGTAATGTGAGCTGACAGGGACAGTAATTAAAAGGTTATATCCCATTGCAACACAGACTCACCTGCTGCAGAGACCACATTGGATGCGCATCCCACTGGGACATATTTGATGGCACTCAGTCAGAGAAGCCTCAGTGCAGGCTTACAAATAGACAGCTTTTGTATTCAGGCTGATGAACCCAGTGGTACTCTCCACCATGACACCTTCACCCAGCACTCCTACCACTGCACCCTAACAACCCAGAAACGACATCTTTCTGCCAGCTAGCTACTCTGCTGCTACATATTCCACCACTTCCTGCGCTGTCTCTGCTCCCTCTTGTCACCTTTGCAGGTACATGCAGAGAGGGGGACAGGCCAAGCCTGGAGTTTTTGGGCTCTCTGACCCCTTCCTTCTCCCTCTGGTGAAATCACCTCCTTCCCTGTGCAACCTGTAGTGACCAGTCGGACCTCTGGCAGTTCTCTGCACATTTTGGGTAGGAAGTACACACTTCTGGGCTGAGAGGAAGAGGGAAATCAAACTCTGAATCTGCCCACCATTCCCATTACTATGGAACCCTTCCAAATGGTTCCTGCTTTCAGAAAACATAGTGTTTTAGGAATTATAAATAATTCTTAGGCCTAAAATGTGCTCTTGAACATGTGTGAAAGGTTAAAGTGATTGTAAACCCTTAGATATACTGACTGAAGTGACTAGCCTCAGGTTATACATAGAGATGAAGCAAATCCTCCTTCAGAGGTTGTTCCTGTTTATCTGCGACCATATGTTATCAACAGCCTTCTAAAACACACAGATCTAAGGCTGTTTCTCAGCTCCAGCAGGCAGGGGTAAGGACCCACTACAAAGCATTTGGAAGGGAGCTGAGTGTAATCTGAGACCTGAGTGAAGGGAATGGACACACTGCCTCTACACATTCTCACAGTGAAACATGCACAGCTGAGGCTGTCAAACACCTTCTGTGTGCTGGAGGGGGAAAGCAGGACCATCCCTCGGGATTGCTTGATGTCTGCATAACCTGTTACAAGAAGCTTTGAATTAAGGCTAGTACACACCATAGAGGGATATGCTCCGTTGATTTTTAATTTCTGAGGTTTACAACCGCTTTCAATAGTTGGGTGAGAGTGGACCAGCTACTTGTCTGGATATTACCAGCTAACCAAGTCTTTTGCTAAATAATACTTTTATATTTCCAAAAGTTATGAATTATGAGGCCAAATTGACAAAATAAATGAAGTACCAAAGTATGACATTATAATCCCCCACCCATGCATGTGTTGTCTCCATAAAGGAAATCATGGTATCATAAATATTAGGGATGAAAACTGATACACGTACTTATGAAAACGCTCCTGATACCCAAACCGATACTTTGCAGTGCGATTTGCATCATTGCAAAATGTATGGACGAAAACTGCACCACACAGAATGGCATGCGATTTGAACAGAAATACTATTACTGTCCAAATCGCATATAGTTTCCCCACTGCTCCTGTGTGAACCCAGACTTGTCATAGCCTGAGCTCAGACAGGAGTGGTGCAGGAAACCTCCCTGCAAGCATCACATGATGACCAGAGAGTGGGAGAGAAGGGAGTGTAGGGATGTATATATTGGTGTCAGCTATGAGGTGGAGGATGGAGCCATCTGCTCCGGATTCTCAGCTGTAGAAGAGAAGAGAAAGCTGCAGGGATTTGAAATCCCTGTGGCTTTCTCTCCTCTCCTTTCCGGGATGACAGTATGGGCTAGACCAGGGGTGGGCAAACTTTTTGACTTGAGGGCTGCAATGGGTTCATATATTGGACCCGGGGGCCGGACCAAGAGTAGATGAATGATGTGTATGTGTCATCCATAGTAAGTATAGTAATATTCCCCCATAGTAAGCATAGTAATTAATCCCCCATATAGTAATTCATCCCCCATATAGTAATTCATCCCCCCATAGTAATTCATCCCCCATAGTAATTCATCCCCCATATAGTAATTCATCCCCCATAGTAATTCATCCCCATATAGTAATTCATCCCCCATAGTAATTCATCCCCCATATAGTAATTCATCCCCCATAGTAATTCATCCCCCATATAGTAATTCATCCCCCATATAGTAATCCATCCCCCATAGTAATTCATCCCCCATAGTAATTCATCCCCCCTATAGTAATTCATCCCCCCTATAGTAATTCATCCCCCATAGTAATTCATCCCCCCTATAGTAATTCATCCCCCATAGTAATTCATCCCCCATATAGTAATTCACCCGCCATAGCAATTCATCCCCCCTATAGTAATTCATCCCCCATATAGTAATTCATCCCCCCTATAGTAATTCATCCCCCATAGTAATTCATCCCCCATATAGTAATTCACCCCCCATAGTAATTCATCCCCCATATAGTAATTCATCCCCCATATAGTAATTCATCCCTCATAGTAATTCATCCCCCATATAGTAATTCACCCCCCATAGTAATTCATCCCCCATATAGTAATTCATCCCCATATAGTAATTCATCCCCCCTATAGTAATTCATCCCCCATAGTAATTCATCCCCCATATAGTAATTAATCCCCCATATAGTAATTCATCCCCCATATAGTAATTCATCCCCCCTATAGTAATTCATCCCCCATAGTAATTCATCCCCTATAGTAATTCATTCCCCATATTAAGTCCCCAAGTCCCCCCTGTGTCAATTCACTTACCTTTCCTCTCGCCGTGTCCCGCGCCGTTCCGGTGTAGCATGAAAATCTGTCTCCTATGAGGATCTGTCCCCTTCGACGTATCTGCGCATGTGCCCGTTTCAGGCATTAGCAGCCGATCGGCGATCTCCGGCACATGCGCAGATACGTCGAGGGGGACAGATCCTCGTAGGAGACAGATTTTCATGCTACACCGGTCTTCAGGGCGGACTGCGAGAGGAGCCTAGCGGGAGCCTAGCTCCGCGGGCCAGATTAAAAGGTCCGCCGGGCCGTAGTTTGCCCATTGCTGGGCTAGACGGATTTTAAATGGTCAGCACTGTCACGTCCCCACACATCCTTCTCTCCCACTCTCCGCTCAGCATGGGATCGGTGCAGATAGGTTTCCTGTATGAACTCTATGACAAGTCTGGGTTCACACAGGAGCAGTGGGGAAACTGCATGCGATTTGGACAGGAATTCTCTCCTCTCCT